CAGATTCGAAGCCAGGAGCCAGGAGCTTCCTCTGAGTCTCCCATGCGGGTACAGGGCCCAAACATTTGGGCCATCTTCTGCTGCTTTCCCAGGCCATAGCCGAAAGCTGGATCAGAAGTAGAGCAGGGCCAGCCGCAGTGGCGCAGTGGGTTAACACCCTAGCCTGAAGCGCCGGCATCCCATATAGGCGCCAGTTCGAGACCCAGCTGCTCTACTTCCAATCTGGCTCTCTGCTGTGGCCTGGGAAAGCAGTGCAGATGGCCCAAGTCCTTGGGCCCCTGCACCCACATAGGAGATTCGAAAGAAGCTCCTGGCTCCTGCCTTCAGATCGGTGCAACTCCAGCCATTGCGGCCAACTGGGGAGTGAACCGTGGGATGGAAGACCTCTCTCTCTCTCTCTCTCTGTGTAACTCTTTCAAATAAATAAATAAATCTTTAAAAAAAAAAAAAAAAAGTAGAGCAGCCAGGACTCGAACCGGTGCCCAGATGGAATGCTGGCACTGTTGGCAAAGGCTTAACCTACTACACCCCTGCACCAGCCCCCACTAAATAAATCTTAAAAACAAAAGAGAGTACACAGAGCGAGCGAGCTCCCGTCTGCTGGTTCCCTTGCCTGGCCTGGGCCACACAGAAGCCAGGAGGAGGAACTCCGTGCAGGTCTCTCATGCGAGTGGCAGGGTCCCCAGGAGCGTGCCCTCACGCTGCCTCCCAGGACGCGGATCAGCAGAAAGCCAGAGACAAGACACCTCAGACCGGGAACCGGCGTCCTGACGAGCATCCTAACTGCGGAGCGCCTGCCCCAGGAATTCTTTACGTACATGCACTACGGACACATTCTCTCTGTGTTTCACATCTCTCTACGGCACATCCGAGGGACTACATGGCTTGATTTCCAAACTTCCCAGTGTCCCTCCTTGCTGGTCTGTGCCCGTTACACTTTGTTCCAGAAATCCCACCTCAGCTCCAGGACAGGAATGGTGCTGCCCCACACCAGTTTCCAGAGGCTTCGCGGCGTTTTCCAGATCTAAGTGCTCCATCCCCCAGGAGATGCGTGATGGTGTGAGGCTGGGATCGACACAGCGCTAATACTCCTCGGCAGAACCTGGCCGTGCTCTGGACACCCTCCAGCTAATCAACAGGACCAGATACTGCTCTGTGCTCAAAGCCCGACTTCACTGTTGAGCCACGCACACTTCGTGTCCGCACTTGGACAGTCACCGCTGGTGTTACCACGACTTTGGGTTCCCCTGCCTTCCACTGCCAGACTTCAGCGCACGACCCACCACGGGACTGGGTGGGAAAGGCAGCCGCAGGGGCCTTGGAAATCTGGGTTCTCACCCAAGACCCAATACTGTTTCTTTCCCCGGCTCTTAGACTCAGCAGGAAACGAGCCAGCAAGAGTAGCCCGCTCCTAGGTGTACGCCCAAGATAACTGAAACTTCCCCTCGCGTTAAAACCCGGACACGCGTGTTCACTGCAGCCTTCTGCACATGGAAGGAGGCCGCACCCCGCCCATCCTGTGAATGAAGGCATACACAGAACGCGGTTCTGCTCCGTCCCACGGAACTCCACTCGGCCACGAAAGGAATGAAGGGCGCCACACGCCACTACACGCATGGCCCTCGCAACATGCTGCTACAGGACAGGCCGGACACGGAAGGGCACCTGTTACGGGACATGAAACACGCGCCACGTCCAGGACAGCTACATCCTCGGAGAGAAAGCGGGTCTGGGAGCCGGGGTGCAGTGGTAGGTGGGTGCCTAGGGTGACGCCGCGGCCTGCATCCC